GTGTGTGTGTAAATCTACCAATGTACTTTGGGTGATAAAGTGTTAAGTTCAGTTTTAACTGCTCTGTTTGTTCTCATGCCTAATGTAATATATTATGGCTAATGTGGCCCCTACCCCAAATTAGTTCCCCACCCCTGATGAAGAGCAAATGCATTTACAATACACTTACAACAGAAATTAATCAACTCCTACTGCACCAATATTATCTGAAGAAATACATAGGTATATTGTGTTGTTAGTAATGTACTCATGTTCTTGCAGTTCTGTATTGGTGGAGGTGGACACTTTCCTGAATCAGCTAGAATTGTTTCATTATGTAATTGGCATGATACAATTTTACCTGACTAATAATAAATTGTTATATTTGATTTATTCTGAACTTTTCTTTAATTATGACCAGTAAATCATAGGAGGCTAATGCTACCGTAAATCTGTGTCCAGGATAGTACAAACTGAAGGTGCATGAATGAAATGAGCAGTAGGCACTTCATCTGAAGACCTTTTGATTTCTGTCTATCACTGATTTAGCAAGATGTATGGAAGTGGCTAAATTAAGTACACTTTTTGTAAGAGTGAGCAGTAGGCAACCGACAAAAAGGTATTAGCTAACTTATTACACCCTCTGACTAACATCAGACTGGCTAGTTTGCGTCCGTGAGTTTACCGCAAACCCGGGGCGCGTATCTCTGAGCGGCATTGGGTCCCTGATGAACGAATAATTGAAAGTATGGGATTTACAGAATACTCAAATATCTAAATTAATAAACAATCGATATCTGTGATCAGCTTTTGATTAGAAATATTGCCTAAATTTAATGATCACGTGAAATTGGAGTCAGATTGAAAACGGAGCTAGACAAAATTGAAACTAAGTCCTGATAAATTCAGAAGCGCAAGTAAAAGACCGAATACGCATTAAACCTTCGACCAGGCCGCTGGATTCCGCTTTTTGGGCTGGCGGGTGGGTCCTTACAACAGTGTGGGGACTTTACAAGTTTCGACTGGAATGGCTATGGTACTAATACAGAATGGAGTGCTTCCAGAGAGATAACTGAAGCAGCTGTGCTTCTCTTTTATCGCTGACATTCTGATCATTCTAAAGAGATATACCACACTGATTAACACCTGAACATTACAAACACGATGAGGAATTTATTTACAACATAAATTCTTTATAATGGTCTATAATAAGTGCAGTTTGTCCTGTGGGAATTTCAGATAAGCATGCTCCGGTGTTTTTAAGTGCTGAAAAAATAATTCACAGGTTAGCCATTTAATGAGCAGCTTCTGCTATTTTCTACTCCATATCCAGTACTGTATACATTAAAACTGTATACATTCTTTTTTATAACTGTCCAAAAGTGGAAGCAAATATATAACATTTTAATAAATTCAGTGGATTGCCACCTATTAAAACATTAATTATCCATTGTCATTTATAAACACTGTAATCCTTTTTCCAGTTTTCCAAGAAGAAAACATAACTATTTTATAGTCACAGCCCTTTGGGGTTTCTCTTGGACCAATATCTACAGAGTAAGGCACTAGGTTTAGCCAATTATCAAATTTAATCACTGCACATCCATACACAATGTGGGAAAAAACGTTCTCCTCACAGGCTTTGCTTTTGAATGTATCTTCCAAAAGTCTTTCTGTTGAATGTGTCTCTCAGAAAAATGGTCTTTCAGTGTGTGTGCTAGTGTATAGGACACATGAGGAGTGAGAAGAGCATAAATCCTACACTCAAAAAAAAAGTACAAACTGTTCTGTGCTCTAATTGAGGGGAGGCTGGGGGATATTTTCATTTTAGTAAAGCTAACAAAGACAACCCTGATTCAGTTCACGCAGTTAGCATACGGTAAATGTTGTGAATTAATTATTACAATAACTCATGTGACTAAAGTCTGTTTTCGGTTAGTTGTCATGTCAATGTAAACACCCCTAAAGACCACTAAGCGCATTACATCATTTGCTTGGTGCAGCTAACATTAAAATGAGGGGAATAAACCTCTAATTGGTGTCAGGAAGAGAAAGCTTCTTGGGTTGCTGACTTTGTTGAAGGGTAATTTTTTTTCTCCCTGTCTTTCTACTATATTTATCTGCTCCATGTAGGGGCTTTTGTGTTCTTTGTGTGGCACTACCAAATGAAAGGAAATGTTAACCACCATTAGATGTATCCGACTACGCCACCCTGGTGGGAGGCCAGGGAAATAACTCCCAATAAAAGGGCACACAGGTAAGTTTCACCAATTGAAGGCGAGAAAATAAGGGAGACGTGAGTATCAATACAAGAAATACACTTTATTATAAAATCACCGGCATCAAGTAAAATTCTCTCACGAAACACACCCACAATGGTAGAAATAGTTCCCCGGGCCAGGAGTAATGAGAACAAGGCAGGCCGGCTGCAACTCAGGAGGTCGTCCAAAACCCACCTCAGTTCACACCACGCACACCCACACTAGGTAAATTGTATCAAAGCACAAACACAGCACACAGTACGTAGTACGGTGGCCGAGAAGTGCAAAGCAAAGTTCACGGGAGAGATTGGCTTTATTAAAGTCCCCGAGAATGATTAAAACAGAGTCCGGGTGTTGTTGTTCTGTGTCTGTGATCTGATCAGCGAGTGTCTGTAAAGCGGAGCTCACGTGCGCTTGCGGAGGAATGTAGACAGTGACGAGAATGAATGAGCAAAACTCCCGCGGCGAATAGAACGGTTTGCAGTTAATGAAGAGCACTTCTAGATCTGAACAGCACATCTTCTTTAACACAGTTACATCTGTACACCACCTCTCATTGATGTAAAAGCAGGTCCCGCCGCAGCGCCATTTCCCCGTTGATTCTGCGTTGCGATCTGCTCTGAACAGCTGAAAGCCCGGGAGACTCAACACGCTGTCCGGAATGGCGTCTTTCAGCCAGGTTTCCGTGAAACCCAGAGCAGCAGAGTTTGAAAAATCCTTATTTATCTGGGAGAGCAGGAGTTCGTCCGTTTTGTTGGGTAGAGAGCGGAGGTTCGCCAGATGGATGCTAGGCAACGGCGTCCTGAATCCGCACTGTCGGAGCTTCACGAGCTCACCGGCTCGCTTCCCCCGACTACAATGTCCAGCAAAACATCAGAATAATC